CAGCTCAAGAAATGGACCTAACTGTTTTGCAAAGGTTCTCCGCAGACCCCTTTATTTGGAGGCTGCGTGCTGTTATAATCAAGGGGTTTTTCTTCTTTATGACGTTTCCCCTCTTAAGAATGTGCATACAGATTTCTCCCTTTCCCCCTGCCCCATGGCTTCTGATGGCTAAAATTCAGTCTTTTTCTCTTTTCACCTTTGATATTTAGTGGACTGATTAAACCAAAACTCTCCTTAGTGGCGCTGCACACTTTGCAGGTGTCCTTATTCCTCCACAGACACTCTTACAGTAAAGGGAAGTTGTTCCTGCATTTAAAAACGTGTGCTCCAGGCTGGAGAGTGTTAAGTTCTAGGCAAAATGCATTTGCTTCAGTTTATAATCTGAAGCAATTCCAGCGCTGCCAACCCTGTGTGTAACCAGGGATTCTATCGATAGGTGCCTTCTTGACCCAGAATCGTAATAACACAAGAATGCCTGCGGTCTTCAGTGTGTCTGCAAAGGGAGGGATGATTTGCTGAAGATGGAGTTGTGATACGATGATGATGGTGGTGTGGGGATACGCTAAGTGCTTGTAATAACCCCTTCTAATTGTGAATCGCTTTGCAACAGCGCAAAAAAAATTGCTATTGGGAAATGATGGTCAATAGGGCAGTATTCATGAGCGTGTAGCTAAAAATGTGACCGATTTGATGAACAGGAAAGAAGGAAAAAATAGAAAATCCAGAAAGCTGGTCGCAGCAGCACGTCGTTATTAAGCCTTAGCTTGGGGTCATTTGCAGGAATTCTCGTGTGAACCGCCTGCCACCTACTGAAGCTGTTTCCCTGCATGCACAATTGCAGCATTGGTGGAGGGATCTGCTCCGTGCATCGCGTTCCTCGCGGCGCCCGTCGCCTTGCTCAAGGACAAAGGGCTCGTGGCAGCATGAATAATCACACTGTCGTCCCGACGTGCTGCGAAACGGCCCGCGACGAGGACTGTGTGTTATTCATGAGCTCCCTCCCTATCTGGTGCTGCTGGAACGCGTGTTCTGTAAGAAAATGCTGTGTCCACCCGGGTTTTGTCAGCAGTCGTATTGCTGACGCAAAGTATTGATGGAGCTCGGGCATTTTTGGAGAACTTCTACAGGTTTTCCTGCTTTACACGATCTCTGGTTTAAAATACTCGTTAAACATTGGCAAATTGAAGGGGGAAAAATAAAAGCCACGAGGATTTGCATGTCCAGTTGCTTGAGCGTAGCAGATGTACAGACGGATTGTGGTCGCTTAATAGAGTCAAATGGCATAACTTCCTTCACCGTGGCAGCGTGTCTGGATACTGTGTTTGAGTCTCGCACTTAAAAACGCAGGTGCAGAGTGGGATCCTGCCTGCAGACACTGAGCAGTGCTGCTGCACGTGTGTTCTGCTTCGGCCTCTTCCCAGAAAATGTCATCAGCCGCCCCGTTCCCTCCATCCCAACGTGCAGGACGGTGTGGAAGAGGGAGAGCAGCAGCTTCTGTGAGCACGTGGAGGCTCAATGTGCAGCCTGGGTCTTGTGCATGGGGTAGTTGTTTTACTAAGCCACTCTTCAGAACCAAATGAGGGGGAATCATGTGTTCCAGGCAAAAAATGGAGAGTTCCTTTTACCAAAGCCTCTTGCGTATCAGATTGAGATGGGTGTCAGCACGATAGCCAAGATGCCATGCAATTATCTGCGGAAGCAGCACTTTAGATGTGTACTTTTTAACTATTATCTTCATCTTACCGTTTCTCCTCTCTTCCTGACACAGTTAGAGCAGCAGAGGCAGCAGCTGCTGACAGAACGCCAGAATTTTCACATGGAGCAGCTGAAATACGCCGAATTAAGGGCTCGTCAGCAAATGGAGCAGCAGCACAGTCAGAACCCGCAGCCCTCTCACCAGCATCCCAGTGGGCCTGGCATGAACCCCCTCGGAGCACCAGCACACCCAGGCTTGCTGCCCCACCAGCAGCCCCCTCCGTACCCGATGATGCACCACCAAATGCCACCACCTCACCCCCCGCAGCCAGGTAAGGGCTGGAAGGAGAAGACCCCCTCGTGTTAGTCATCACCATTTATAGTAGCTTAAAAGAAGAGGAAGAGGAGTTGTGGGCTAAAATTAGACAAAGTGTGAGAGGCGGACTGCGCTTTCTAATGTGTTTCTTGTGAAATGGGAACAGTTTGCTGCTAAATTATTAGCTTGGCGCGTTCTGCAGCTTCGTTTTGGAGCTCGGGCTCCGATACCGGACGTATGAATGGAGTGAATGGAGCTTGTTACAAACAAGCCAGATGGTGTGGTGGTCCGTGGCTGTCTTGGAATGTATGGCAGCCCAGGTTGAACCGTGTTACTTCTGGGCTCACTGAATGCTATTGCCAAAAAGCCAGAAAATGGTGCTGAGCCTGCGTTGCAGCGTTTTACTCATCATAGCCTGGTGCATTAAACAGCCAAAGCCAACATCCAGTTACGTAGGTGAAATAGCTTAAACCTCTAGTGTCAAAATCTGTATTACAAAAGTAAGCAAGCCTAAAAGAAATGAAGATATCACTACCTTAGATGAAAACATAGCAAGACCTGTCTCCTGTTCTGCCTCCAGCATGTTGGTGCTTATTAAAGAGCCACAAATGCTTTATATTCAACCCTATCCTGATTAAGAGAAGAAGTTTTGCTTTGCAGAGCACATAGTCTTGCAATTAATCAGAGAATGTCTGTAAACAGGGTGTGAGCAGAGCATGAGGAAAAGTGAAATAATTGATAAATTGAAATTGAATTTTGAGGCCCGGCCCAACGGCAGAGCCCGACGCGTTGGGAGCAGTGGGGCAGGGTGTCGTTGGAGCCCAGGTCCAGCTGCGTCCCCAGGACCCGGGTGCGGGCACAGAGCCCCCCTGGCGCCTTCGCTGGGGACCCCGAAGCCGGAGGAGCCCCCGGGGGCGGCGCTGGCCCCGCAGGGACCTGGGCAGGGCGCAGGGCCGGGCTCAGCGCGGGGACAGGAGCCGGCGGCGAGTCCTGGGGGCCACCGAGGCCAGCGGGCTCCTGCGCTGGGCAGAGCAGGGCCCGGCGCAGAGGGGTACCACTGTACACAAATATCTGAAGGGAGGGTGTAAAGAGGCTGGGACCAGCTCTTCTCAGGGGTGGCCAGTGACAGGACAAGGGGAAACAGGCACAAAACTGAAACACAGGAAGCTCCATGTGAATATGAAGAAAAACTTATTACCTGTTTGGGTGACAGAGCACTGGGCCAGGTTGCCCAGGGGTCTCCTTCCCTGGAGATGTTCAAAGCTCCCTTGGATGTGGTCCTGCTCAATGTGCTCCTGTGGGGCAGGAGAGCTCCAGAGTCCCTGTGACCTCAACTGCTCTGTGGAAGAAAGTCTAGATCCTGAAGCTGGGCAGAGGAAGGACTGGACAAGGATGAAGGTCCTGCGGGAGGTGGATCAGAAGGGACGAGTGAGAAACCAGTGGTTGTGCTGAAGAGATTGTCCAGGTGCAGGGCAGGAATGATGCGAGAGCGGCAATAAGGGGTCAAGAGTCAGCAAGAGCACCAAGGCAGGAACGAATAAAGCCCAGCGAGGAGGGAAGGAGCATGGGATTTAACCAGAGGAGGAACAGATGTGCGCCGAGTTTGAAAGTGAGGATCAAACCTGCGTATTCCTGTCTGCTTTCCATTCTGCACAAAGGAGAACTTCTCGATTAAAGCTAACACAAAGCCCCTGAACTCTGTTTCATGTTATCTTGATGGAAGCCCGAGGGAAGGGCAGTTTGTAGAAGATCCATGTGGAATGTATAACGTTTGGAAAAGAGCCAAAGCCCAGGGTTGCCTGGTCTGCCCCAGAGAACACCTTGAGGACAGGTAGGGTTGTGCTTCCTGGTAAACTAAAACAAGCTCCTAAAACTAAAACAATTTACACTCCCAAACAATCCTTTAGCAATTGTCTTTGCCAGACTCGGGACTGGTATCCCCCTGCCCTGCCTGGGTCTCTACAGCTCTTCAGCTGTGCTCGATGCCAAAGGAGAATGAGAGCTGTGTTGGGCAGAAGAGCCCTTGGAAGGTCTCCTGTCCAAGCCCTGGCAGCAGGCAGGCTACTCAAGGACTTCACCTGCTGGGGCATTAGGTGACCATATGACTGTGCCTCACCTGTGGAGGAAGAACACCTAAGAAGAAAAAAATGTTTCTACCATTTATTCGAAACAATTCCTTGTATTTCAAGGGAAAATTACCAACCTTGATGATTAGTAATCAAGTTGCCAATGTTTTCAGGCTGACCTTAAAAATCATCCTACTCTTGGAAGGCATCGTGACGGGCAGATGCTGCTCTTCTGTGAAGATGTTTATGGGAATATATTTAAAGACTTACTTATACTTGCTGAATGTAATTGAAATGATAATTTAAATTAGAATAGCGTGGCCTGGATTGTAGTGACCGGGATTGTCTGGCCAGCTGTTGCAGCAGCAGACACTGCATTTTATCAATATTCAACTATTTGACCAAAACCAAGTCCAGAAGATGACCCGATTGGTTATCAGCTGAAAATCTTTTGGCAGGTGTCATAAGCTGCTGTTGAAGAGGCTGAAAAGCTTGGGCATCAGGATCAAAAATGGACACAGCACCCCAAGGCATTCAGAAGGCTGAAGCTTGATGAAAGCCCGAGGGAAGGGCAGTTTGTAAAAGGTCCATGTTGAGCACAGAGCATTCGGAAAAGAGCAGAAGCACCCAGCGAACTAGCAGGATCTGCAGATGACCGTGAAAATGTCAGGCATCTAATCCAGCTGTGTGAATCTTCACCATAATGAGACATGATTTGATCAACAGATGCAGAGTAATGCCCAGCGGAGAGGAAAATAAGAGTTAGTCGTCTGGTGATCCAGAAGCTTAAGCTAACTATCTTTGCAGAGGATCAGGGTCAGCAAGTTCCTGGGCTTGCTGCACACTTGTGGTCAAAGGTTAATGTTGAAAGTGTAGAAAAAGAGCTGGTTTAGAGAGTGTTATCAAGTACGCTGTGCTTTGTAACGCAGTCTAACACTATAGCAGCTTGGTTTGTGTTTTGTATTAACAGTTCAGATCCATCCCCTAGCAGTAGAATGAAGAAACGCAAAAACAGGAAAAGGAAAAAGTGGCAAATTCAAAGCAGATTAGAGGAGAATACCCTATTGCATATCATTAGACTAGCTCTCAGTTCCAAGCTGCTATTGAGGCTGGAAGTATAACGATGTTAAATGCATTGTTGCATTTAATGCACTGGGGACTGTTGAAGAGGCTGAAAAGCTTGGGCATCATGATCAAAAATGGACACAGCACCCCAAAGCATTCAGCAGGCTGCAGCTTTATCTTGATACTGGGGGACTAATAAAGGTCGATTTCTTAGGTATTCATGTCCTTGGCTCACGCACACCTTAGCCCTTCTGCCCCCCGTGCCCACCCAGGCTGCCTGTATCCCCGCCAGGGCCTTGCAGGGTGATACCTGGAGTGTGGTCCTGGGTTCAGCACCTGGCACCACTCCTTCAAATTGCATTAAAAATCAGCAATAGATGCATTTCTGCTCACAGAATGATTAACATTGGAAGGGACCTTTGGAGATCACCTCGTCCAACTGATCTTTCCCAGGAAGCAATCCACCCCTTTTCAAATATGTATCTGTATAAACCTCCTCCCTGTCACACTGCAGTGGTCAGGTCGAGTCCGTGATAAACACCAGCCCTCTCTCATTTTCCCCCCACCGCAGGCTTTTGGTAGCTGCAATCTCCCGTTTGGATCTTTGACTCTTCAGACAGGGCCCCACGCTGAGGACTTTCACACACCAGTTCCGCAAGGCTCTGTGGTGGCTCCGTAGTGGAACTTCTGTCTGGGAAACTCTCCAGATCCACTGATACCCTTCCATTTCCCAGACTTCTGCAGGATAATATCAATATTTTCAATCGATTGTTAGCAGGGTGGTGAGAATAGTTGACCTCAAAGGAGGTTCTCTAGGAAGATACACCTCTTCCCGAGAAAAAAAAGAGCCCAGAATCTCTATTTAGCTTTCCCAGTAATGCTGTTTTTGAGCTGATAGGGGTTTTTCCTTTGAGTGAAGCAGCTATTTATTTGCCTGCAGCCTTCATCTCTTGGGTATCCCATGGGGTGTGAGTGCTCTAGTGAACAGAACTGCTGGAGCTCTTTGTATTTCCTGCACGGAAACTAAGCTGCTCCCTGTGTCCCCTGATTGGTGTCAGAGCAGTTGCTAAATATCTGGCCAGAATCCAAGCAGATGAGGACGTTTTTCTCTAGTGCTCTTGGGGAGCTTGGCCCAAGACTGCTGGTGGACATGGAGGTAGGCTGAGGGCCTGTGCAATGCGCTCTGCCTGTTCCTTAAATTGGCCAAAATTGCATTGAAAAGCTCAGCCTTAGTCTCAAATATCCCATCTCTTGGCCTATCACCCAGGACTTTCCATCTAAATACAGGGATTTTAGGGTTCTGCCGGATGTGTCAGTCCCTGTCTTGGCTTGGCTTGTGTTGCTTGGTCCTTAACCAGGTCTCTGCTGGCTCGGTGGAAACTTCAGCGGTGTATTCTCTTTCCAGTGTCATGTTGTATGGGTCTTTCCTTACCTGCACGCTCCTAGAGAAATTGCAGGGTATTTACTGGGTTTGGAAGTCTTGAATTAGTAATAAATCCTGTTAAGAGTCAACCATTCGTACATAGACCATAGAAACTTTCGCTGTTTGGTTGTTGATTTGTGATGCTGTGAAATGAGCCGGTGAGTTTACCATGGTCAACCACTGGTCTGTGCCATCACCGAGGTCACTGCACACCCATCTTCAGCAATCTTGGCAGAGATACCAAACATGGGCGGGTTTGCATGGATTATTGAAGATAGAGCAGTCACTGCTGGCTGCCCATCTAACAGAGCTCTGTGGGAAGATCTGACCTGTTCCGTTGGCCATGGAGAAGATCCCAGAGCTGTTCCACGGTGTCCAAGAGCCACCGCAGGTCAGTGTCCGAGACAGAGCCATGCATGGAAGTGCAGAGCAAGGCCCCGAGGGACAGCTGGAGTGGGAATT